GTGCATGTTTTTTATACATCACCATATAAAGTACATTGTATGAATTGCTATGTACTACATGCATTGCATAAATCTCTCCCACTCTGAGAACCTAAGTACGGAGTACATGTTTTTTTTTTTGGATAAAGCCGAGTAATGGGAAAATGCACTGTATATTCCTGCCACCTCTATCTCTATTATAAGTTCATAGAATGTTAAAAGAAGCACTTAAAATGATTTTTTTACAATGATATTGATAATCATTATGATAAGGAAAAATAATGAGATCTTATTATGCTACACAATTGTGAGGCATGGCAGAGTTAGTGCACTGCTTACATTTTTAATTCTTACGATGTATTTCCTAATACCAAATTAGGGTTAAATATTGAGGAACTTACTTAAATACGTCCTCCGTCCGAAAATATTCCTCCCATTTGATTTTTCATGATCTCTAATATTGCACTTTGACCATTAATATATATATTTATGCATATATATATTTTATAAAAATTTGATATTTGAAAACTACGTTTCATTATGAATATATATTCATATTAAATTCACATCATAATACAATGTGTTTCTTCCACAAATCATAGTCGAAGTTTACAAACTTCGACCAAGAAAAGTCAAATGTGAAGAATATTTCTTAAACATAATAAATTTTCCTAAATAACATCATGTGTGTTTTATTTCTCGATGTAGCAATTTTAGTAATTATCCGGCCATTAGTCATTATTCAACTAAATGTTCGTCATCACTGGACATTATTCCTCTTTATGGACATTATTAAGTGCGTTTTAGGGAATAAAACATTTTAAGTGATATTTAGGAAAATCACTTAAGTTTTAGTGCTATTTAGTTCAAATATTTCTTAAATATTTAGCATTAAAGAATTATTTGAAATTTTGAATACCTTAACAGGGTGTAACAAATAATGAGAACATGCATGCTTAAATGTTGTAAGTGTTTTTTAAAGCATACAAAACTTTAAATTTGTACTTGCTTATAGACAATACTATTTGGAGTGGAAATAGAAAATGTCTAAAATAATACTCCGTATTAATAATTTAACCAACCATGCCATATGAATGAGAATGAACCTTCAAGTAAAAACTTTTATAGGTCAAGGACACATCCTTTTAAAAATTGTCAATTGTTCTTTTGCAAATGGCATTATTTTTTGCTGTAGAATTAGTGATATTTATAGGTCAAGCAGAAAAGTATCGAATAAGATTTAAAAGGTTCAATGCATGTAATAAGTAATAACGGCCCGATTCGGTGGCCACTGCCCCCCTACGGAGCTATGTTCGTAAAATTGATGATTTCTACCCCCTAACCCCCCGATAAACCCCCCCCCCAAGTCCCGACCCCAAATCATCCTCCCACCTACGTCAATTGCACCCTGTAAGTATAATTGACTTTAAAGTCAAAAATTTTGAATCCAAAGTCATCTAAACTTGCACCCGCAATTGACGTAGTTAGGGGGATGAGTTGGGATCGGGACCGGGTAGGGGGTTTACCAGGGGATTAGAGAGGGTAGGAACTATCAATTTTGCGAACAGAGCACCGTAGGTATCCCAATTAGGTGAGTGGCTATAGAACCTAGCCGATGTAATAATACAAACATGGTAAAAAACATGATTCTCTACAATTCATACAACGAATACATAGATAAGAACATAAGCAATGCATCTCTTTTCCACACTCATAGCACGCCACATCTTTGAAGAACTACTGGTTCAATCAAACTCGTCCAACAATGATTGCCTTATATCGTCATCGTCCACGAATCCTTGTTCTTTCATATCCTTCCCAGCGGTGTTTTGGCTCAGATCGTTTTTTTTTATTTGAACCATTCTATGAAAAAAGAAAGTCTTTTTTCACAACATGTAATGTTAATACACAATCAGTCTTTGTGCAATGCTAATATAGCTAGCTTGGGATTGCACTGCAACAGGCAATGCATAAATATGGCTGGTGTGAAATGCAGACAAATAAATGCAAAGGAAATAAAATGCGGAGGAAATAGAATTGGAATGCAAAGTGAATCCGCATAAATGTGGATACAAAGGGCTGCTATATATAGTGCAGGAACTGCCATTGATGGTATATTTGTGAAAGGAATTCCGAAAGATGGCTTAGAGATAAATTGATGATGAGGTATAGCAATACAAAGCAAATAAGGAAGGAAAAGCAAGGGTGAAGGATTTGAAATGGCTGAATGAAATGGATATGGATTGCCCAAATTTTATACTGATAGGATGGAAGCCCATTATTGAGTTCTATTATTGCCACCTATAGTGTTTTGTCTTAACGTGTCAAAGAAAAGGCGGGAAACAACATATACCATTTTATTTTCTTTTTATATAGAGTAGGATATGAGTATTATTTTGATCATTAAAATCTTTATTAGAGTTGAATATTTTATAAAAACATACTCCCTCCGTCCCAAATTATTTGTAACGTTTGCTTTTTTAGCAGTCGCGGAAACTTTTGTTTATTTCTACGTTTTCATTAGTTATTTAATAAAATAAAATATTCTTGACACCTCTTATTTCGAAAAACTTTTCATGTAGTTTTTTGATATGTAAATTTTATTTTTTATTTCTATACCAATATGTAAATAAAATGAATTGAAAAAACTTGATATTTTGCCTCGTGAATACAAATGTGACAAATATTTAGGGACGTAGGGAGTAATATCTCAAAAGTACATGGTGAAGCGTTGATTAAATTTATTTAATTTAATTAGTTACTACTTCAATAATTATTAATATAGAATGAAAAAGTGTTACAAAAATCGAAAACTCGTTTCTAAACAATGTTTCCATATGTCTTACTCTATATATATGACTTAGAGGTTATTATTTAGAGCTTAAATTCTTAATTTTCAGTGACATGGAATTCCTTTCAATTACTTTCAGTTCCTTTTAGTTTTGTCTAATTCTTTCCAGTTTCTTCCAACTTTTCAAGTATTTTCATTTTTTTAACTAGTTTTTTTTCTACTCCCCAAACAATTACCTTTAAAACGATGTATTTTTAGAGTGATTATTATTATTATTATTATTATCATCATTATCATCATCATCATCCTCATCATCATCATCATCATCATCATCATCATCATTATTATTAGAGTAAATTTTATAATTGGTCCTTTATAACAGGGGGTTTTCCTATTTAGTCTTCTATTATCAAATATTATCCAGTGGTCCTTCTTTTATGGGTATCTTTCCACAAATAGTCTTTTTTGATCTTCTATCATGTTGGTGTTAATTTGAGGGCTAAAAGTGTAATTTCACAATGATAATATATCTTTTTTGTCATACACAATTCGAAAGGTTGTCCCGTTTGCGTCGTTTGTGAATTACAGTCGCTTTTTACGACAACGATAGTCTACAAATGTGATCTTTCGTCAGAGTCCTAGCCCACAATCATAGTCATTATTTTTGAGTTATCCGCTTAACCAATATCAGAACATGTCACTAGACATAATGTTGATATCAAATTATACTTTTAGCCTTTAAATTAACACAAATACGGCATAAGATCAAAAAAAGGACCATTTGTAGAAAGGTACCCTTAAAAAAAGGACTACGGGGGTAATATTTGATAATAAAGAACTAAATATGGAAACCCCCATGTTATAAAGGACCAATTATGGAATTTACTCTTATTATTATTATTAGTATCTTCATTATAGTTATTATTACAACGTATTATTATTACAACTATTATATTCATAACTATAGTTCATAAATTATTTCATTTTTTATTTTTTTCATGTCACTATTTTTACAATTAAAACACTTCTAGACTGATACGAAGAAAATATTTTTCAAATTTTTTTAAAAAAATTTTGAAAATTAGATTATTTTAGAGAAAACAACTAAAGCAGTAAAACATAAAAATGTTCCAAAATACGAGTTTTATCAAAAAAGAGTAATAATATCAATCATGAAAGAAAAAATAGATTTGATCATATTATGTGTCAGGTCTAATATTTAAAATAAAATCTTGTAATATATAAAAAATAATTACATATATATTACTTTATAATAAATACTACATAAATAAATTGAGATGAAACATAAGGACAATAAAATTTTAAAGCTCAACATTTTCATATTTATGCTAACTTTATATTCTACTCCGTAATTAAATATTCCCTCTGTCTCATGAAACCTTTCTCCTTTCTTTTTTTATCCGTCCCACAAAACACTTCTCATTTCTATAAAAAAGTCACTTTTACCCCATACTTTTCATATTCTAACAATCACATCATACCTTTTTACTAATAATCTATCCATCAAATCATACTTTTACCCATCACATCAAAGGACATTTTTGGAAATTCAATACCAAAATACACTCCCCTTAAATCCCTCCTAAAAAGCAAAAGTTTCATGTTTCATGGGACGGAGGGAATAATTTTTTGCAAAAGTAGATTTTTGTGTATGAAAAAATGGCAATACTTTTTTATCTTAAAGATATTGGTTAAGATAACGTAATTATGAATATAATAGTAAAAACATGAAACTTCTATTTTAATATTTTTTTTCCCTATGTTTTAGTCAACGATTTGTAAGAGAAAATAGAATTCTATTAAATAATATTCCAAATGTCTCCCATGCATAATTATTCCACTTTTCTTAAAAAGTCATTAATTATTTAATTGAGTGGATTTTCACCCACCTTAATTTAAAACGCCCCTTGAACCATATAAGAGCGGATCAAACTCTCCCATCCCACAACCACACACACCTCCACAATAACAATAACCAAAAGAAGGAAAATGGCAGTCGCCGCCACCAATAAATCCACCGTATTGACGGCAGTCCTCGTACTGGCATTGGCTCTCTCCGACGCCGGCGCACTATCGCCGTCGGCCACCGTCGAGTTCTCCAACGAGTACTATACCCCGCTCGATTTCGACTGTTATAAGGGCGGGGCGGCGGACGGAGTAGCCCGGGCAAGAGCTTTTCGTTTGAAATTCATAATCCGAAATACAAAAACGAGAACGCCTATATATGTAACATTTACGACGGCACGGTGGCTACTCTCCAAAGCCGGGGGTATGATCGGGTGAGAGACAAGGGCCATTTGAGCGTGTATTGGAAGATCAACACGGATGGATTGTATCGTAGTTATGATAAAACTCACTGGAGTTTTGATACCGAGTGGTCCAGCATTGATTGACTAACTTTGTTTAATTTAAGAGAAATTTACCTAAATAGGACTAAAACATAATGACTTTCCCAATATAGGATCATATGTTTTTATTTCTCAATGTAAGACTTTTGGTCATTATAAGTAAATGTCCATGATTACTAGACATTATTCTTCCCACTAAGTCATTATTAAGTCCTATTTAGGGAATAAAGAAGTTTAAGTCCTACATTGGGAAAGACATTATGTTTTAGTCCTATTTAGTGCAAATTTTACTTAATTTAATTTTATTTGTTACGACTCCAATAATAATTACTCCCTCCGTCTCAAAAAGTCCGACACGTTTTGAAAAAATCGTGTCCCGTAAAGTTCGTTACATTTCAATTAAAATGTCACTTTTACCCCTTACTTTTTCATACCTTACCTATCACATTATACATTTTCTTAATGATCTACCCATTACATCTTACTTTTACCCATCATATCAAGGTTATTTTTGGAAAGTCAACACTAAAATATCCCTCTTTTAATTTCCTAAAAAGTCAATATGTACCAATCTTTTTGGGACGGAGGGAGTATTAATGTATGATGAGAAAAACGTTAATAATAATCGAAAAGGATGTTCCCAATAGAGACTCAGTGTCTTACTTTAAATTGCAAGGTTCCCATGACATTGTCGGGACATTGCCCGGCAATGTCATTAATGATCCGAAGGCGCTCCGATGCCCCGTTCATAAAATTGACGGTACTTACCTCCCCATAACCTAACGATAACTTCCTCTACTCCGCCCCGACCCGAACACACCCTTACACGGCCCCACCCTCTTCAATTGTATCCCACAAGTTGATTTTGATTTTGAAGTCAAAATTTGACTTTAAAGTCAAAATCAATAAGTGGGGTGCAATCGAAGGGGAGGGGTTGTTCGGGTCGGGGCGGGGTTAGATGGTTTACCGATGGGTTAGGGGGGTAGGAACCTATGAACGAGACACTAGAGCGCCCAGGGTCATCCCATGACATTGCCAGACAATGTCATGGGAACCTTGGTGTACTTTAAATTTTAATTTGCATTATATTTCTAGTGTCTTATATGGCTTGGAATATAGATTCCAATCACCCTTCTTTTTACAACGTAACTCGTTTCTAAATTTTTAAGAATTTCCAAAAGATTAAATTATGTCATCTCTATCGATGAATTTTTAAGTATGTCATGTTTTTTGTGCTTATAAGCTGGTCAGAATTATCTGTAATCATTTTTTAACTTATAAATTAGCTAATGATATATTTTTGTGTGTTTATAAGCTAACTCATAAGTTGCCTATAAGCTGAAAAAATAAGTATGTTTTTACCACTTATTTTTAAGCTCTTTTTGGTTTTTCTTTTTTTTACCAGATTATTTATAAAACCGTTTCTCACTATTTATGAATATTTAGAAATAATTTATCTAACATTTAAGTCATAATTTCGTAAAAAATATTTGATTTATAAACACCTTATACATTAGAAACTGCTTATTAACAATAGTCCAATAAATACGAACACAGAGAAACACCACTATTGTTTGGTATTTAGCATTGGGATTGCAGCGAGATGTTTGAGAGGGGAGGGTTCACTTGTAATACCCTGATTTGAAAATAAATGGATTGGGGATAGAAAAAGGATCAAAAGAATTGATAACATTACTCATACCAATAAGATGCATCTTTTTTCGAGATGTTATCACATAGAAACTCCAAAGTTAAACGTGCTTGACTTGGAGCAATTCTAGAAAGGGTGATCCCTTGGGAAATTTCTTCGGCGTGCACAAGTGAGGGCAAAGTACACGAGAAAGACTTGTGATGGTTTGTGGGTCCAATCTACAATCTTATGAGCAGACACTGTCGCCCAGAGTGGAGTCGGGGTGTTACTATAACGTCTTAAAAACCGGTCTAGAAGTTTATCAATAATTAAATAAATAAGAATTATTTATTTACGACAATCTATCCTTTTAAAGAATAAAAAGATACTTTGAAGATTTTAATCGTCTCAGTATAACGTGTCTAATCTGATTGTATTTATAAAGATTTAAATTAAAAGACTAATCCATATTAATTAATCAAAAGGATTAAGACAGACCAAATGGAACTGGTAAATGCTCATTGATTTATTATAAAAGTTAGGGATATGCTAGGGGTACATCAAATCAAATGTGTACCCCAAATGTATACCACTCCCCAATCTACCATTCATTTTATTTTGTTTTTATTTTTTTATTTTTTTGAATTTTTCTTGTTTTTTGTGGTGATGGAGGGGGTGGAGATGTTTGGGGTACACTTTTGGTGTACACCTAACATTTTCCTAAAAGTTACTCCCTCCATCCCAAAAAGATTTACACGTTTCAAAAAAATTGCGTTCTATAATCTCTTACCCATTTCTATTAAAAACCACTTTTACTCCTTACTTTTTCAAACCCTACATATCACATCATACCTTTTTCCTAATAATCTATACATCACATCCTACTTTTACCTATCACATCAAGGATATTTTTGGAAAATTAACACAAAATTATCTCTCCTTTAATTTGAACTATAGTGAAAAGGTAATACTTGAGACGGGGTGAGCATAAGTTATGGATGAATCGAAAACCCTAGTATAAATACTCAGAAAATTACTCGCGGGTGACGCGAGTTTTGTGGAAATAACTTTCAGGTCCTTCTATTTTCAAAAAGACAACCAAGGTCCTTATATTTTGTTGTAATGACTGAGAGGAGACATTTCATCCAATACATCATCCGTAAGTGTTAATAAATGAATTTTTTTCCTATTTTTCCAATACTTTTTTTTTCTATTTTGCCATTACCTTGTTTTTTCTTTTTTTAAATTTTGTTTATTTCATTTGTTTTAATATAATACAAACAATTTTGAATTTTTATACGATTTTATAGAAGAAATTCTAAAATAACACTTTAAAAAAATAGTAACAAAATGAAAGAAAAACAAAAAAATAAAAAAAGGAGCGAGCTAAGATTTATTAACTTAAAACATTTAGAAAACAATAGGAAAAAAATACTATAGATAAATATTGGATGAAACCTCAACAATACTCCCTTTTTGCGATCGCCTCTTTCCTCTACGATCGGATGAGAGCGCAGCGCCTCCCTTTTCTTTGATCCACAACCCGCGACGACAACAACGACGAGGGACGCCGGCGACCATGGTGACGGCGTTAACCAATTCAAGCACCGACACCCTGTTTCTTCTCCTATCAAGCACAAAGGCTACAACACGACAGAATCTACGACGGCGAGGCGACGACGAGGAGCAGCGCCGGCCTCCATCCTCTTCTGGCAATTGTGGCGACCTAGATGGCGAACGGTGATGGGGAGGTGACGTCTGGTGGCGGCGACGAACCAGTCCTCTCCGGCCACCGTTCTCCCTACTCCGGCGATCTCTGCGATGGTGGTGACCGGATTGGCGAATCAGCGACCTCCATGCTCCGGTGACGGAGTTCGGGCAGCGGGTAGTTCCGGTCAGTAGTAATTAAACCAGCGACGGGATTGACCCTGATGTTTTCCGGCGACCTCCTTTAGAGGCGACAGTAGTCCGGCGAGGGGTCCCATGGCAGCAGCGTTCGGGCAGCAGTAAATAAAGGCAGTGGGATAAGTTTGGACAACGAATAGGTTCGGACAACAGCTGTGATGGAGTCGTGGCAGCCTGACGATCAATTCCGCTGATGGTACACAGATGACTCTCTCTTTTAGATTGAATCGAAACAAATCAAGGTAAGTACGTGGACACTATAATATGCATCTAGGTTTGAAATTCCGTTCATAATTGTTATCGTGGTTGATCCATCTGATTTATTTGTGTGAGTTTTGATTGTGGTTTCGGGAATTTTTGCCCTTTGAATAAAAAAGGGTTGCATGCATGATTTGGGCGTTGATTGAAGAATTAATGTGCTTGATCGAATGATCGTGTTTAAAATGTTAATAGGGACCTATTGGTGTTTGTTATTATGAGATCATTGTTGGTGGATGTTGAAAAACGAAACAGGTGTAAATATGAAAATTCTTGTGTCAGACGGTAGGTAGTATCGCTGTGATGGTGCTGTGCTACCGTCACACTCTATTACTATCAAGAGGATGATAAGGTGGATTTGGCTTCCACGTACGTGAAGGGGTTGCTTTGGACCTATTTTCATGCACAGATGGGCACTAAGAGTGTTGTTTTTGTGGGAAGATTTGGTGAAGGTGGTCCAAGAACACTATGGTCAACAAGAACATCAAAATCCAAACGAATACCTTTGTAGCATCAATCAAAGTGATACTGTCATAATGTCATTGAGTATCGCTTAGAGTTTGCAAGAACGGAGTCTCAACTGAGAGATGAGAGATGGTCGAGCACTCTCTTCTTGGGTTTTTTAATCAACAACCTCAAGGAAGAGTTGGGTCCAGATCTAAAACAGCTTTTAGCCCAAATCCTACTTAGGACTGTTCATTAGGCTAACACTGGACTGGGAATGTGGTGGGACCGTATAAAGACTTGTGCTAGGATTGAAGACCGGACCGAATCGCCTTGAGATAAGACCAAATAAGACCTATTTCTCAATTTTACTTTCTAATCATTGATTAGTTTTGTAGTTTCTATCTAATGAAAAATCAATTTTAAGAACTTAGTTTTTGACTGCATTTCTAGGCAGTTGCACAATAAAATAAAATAAATGTTGTTGGTCTCCATTTGACCACTCCTTAGGCCTTATTGGTGGCAAAATAAGAGTAATTTAAATAGCAATACAGCGTGAAGCATATAACACATATCACAATGTATAATGTAAGTAACTCATAATGCCATCCAGTGATCCAAGGTCCAATATGACAAAAGCTCAATTTTGAAAATTCATAAATTATTCATTAATGATAGCCGCCTGCTTTTCTACACCTTGGTTTGTACACAAAGTTCGAAACCCAAATTGCCTCGCTAGCCACAACCATGAATATGCAATTAGACAAAAACATTGTTAAAACATTTGCACTTCTAATTAAACACATATAATCTACCATATGTCAAAATCTTGAAATGTTAGTTGTATCAATAATATATTCATGTACACTAACCTTCGTCTTGCCTCACAAAACAAATGGAAAACAACAATAAAACTACTTAGTTTAATACTACATAACAAGTAAATGATTTTGCTATATACAAATTATGTTAAATTGTAGATGTTACTTTTTCTACCGGTTTTATTTCATCAAGTGTTTCCTCAATATCAAACTTCTTAAACGTCTTGATTCTTGACAACATGCACCATCTTTAAAAACTAAATTAGTCAAAATGTATGCAAGTATTAGAGGAAGATTAACTAGTTAACTTCCGTGAGGGGTTAAAGATGTTTGTAACACATAAACATGATGACCATTAATACTAAATGCATACTCTTATGCAACTAAAGAAATTAGCACAACCAACAAATAATGTACCATACGAGCAACCACGAGATATCGAGGTTAATGAGTATGCCAACAACCAAACAAATAAACTGCAACTTTTGAATCATAATCAAGTCCCTCATCCACAACTTTTAAATCATCCTTAAGTCCCTTATATACAATTTTTGAATCATGGAGGTCATTGTCTTCAAGTAAATAAACAAATAAACTATACATGTAGAGTATTAACAAACTAACTGTTTTTTTTAATTTCAATCTCCTACTCTAACTTTTAAACTTCTAATAAGCAAAAACTCTACTGTTCTAGATTAATTGTAAAAGAAGCAACAACTCCAATATCAAGCATCTCAACAATCCCTCTATAGGGGATTACTTGACCCCAAACATGTCGGTTTTTCAGAAGCCAATGAATGTACTTTGATTTTATCTGAAGGCGAGAATGGTAAATATCTTGTGGTTATAATTTCTACCTTTTTAATACTTGTTTATCTTCTTATTCATATTTTATCTTCATTGCTTGATGTTAGAGCTATATATATATATGTATATATATGCATACCTGTGGATGATATTCATGTCACTCGGTTTTTGCATTATTTAAGAGAAAAACGTTTATGTCTACCTATTAATGACCAAGAACGCTTTGGAATCTTCCCTCTGAATTGCAAGCTAATAAATATCAAAGTTTGAAATCACACCAAGAGTATTCGAAATGAAAAAAATCAAAAATGCCTTTAAATCCTTGGGTTGAAGCAAGGTGATTAGGATATTACATCATTGAGATATGACATCATGCTTTTCATGACCAATCAAGTATATTCTCCCTTTAATTTTTCTCTTAGCTCCCCAACTTCTTAATTTTGATTTAGAGACAACTTAAGTATCTCATAGTCCCTCTTTTTCTTTATGGTTTAGTATATCTATAGGATCACGGCGGATCACATATAAAGGACATATTTCTTAATATGTTTCATACATTTTGACCGCATTTATTACTTTTTTAATCTTTTTTTATTTATGTTCATCACTCTGTCATTAAGGGAAATACATATAACCTACTTTGTATTTTTATGTTAACAATGATACCACCACCTTTAATTTCTTACCATAATAGTTTGTTGATATATGTGAAACACACAAGGCTATGACTTTTTTATTATTCAAAATTATGACAAGTAGATTATCACTAATGCCGAGGGTGATTGTAATACCATTTATTATAAAGTACAATTGATTCTCTTTTCTTTCACACACACTCATGTATGTATGTATTTATGTGTCAGTGTATGTATGTTCATAGTAGGTTGATTGATTAATCACACCTTTAAAGCTAATAAAAACCCACATTATTCTTTTGTTTACTTCTTTTTCTCAGGGGTTATGTAACAGTGACTCCATCGAGATTTAAAAATATTTAAAAAATCAAGAAAAGTTGTGAAAAATGATTGTCTCATTCATTCAAGGAAGATAAATTTGCATTCAATCTTTTCTTCGATGAAGAAGATGAATATGACGAGAAAAAGGTGCTCCAAGAATTTCAAAGGATACATGACAATTATATCTGCCTAGGTCATTTAATGATTGCTTATATCACATTTCAGATTTCTTCTTAAAAGAGTTCATACCTTTTTCATGTGCGCGCAACTGGCAATCATTTCCTCGTTGGTTGATGGTTATATGATGGCATAACGGAAAGCGTTATTCATTGCTTTGTTGATCAATTTGAAAATGTTTAGAAAAGTTTTAGATTTTGCGGGTGACAATATGATGTCTTCGATGATACATCTCTCGCGAACATGGCACCTCTCTAAAATTATTCAAGTTGATAAAAAAAGCAGAAAATAACACTTTTCATGGTGTGGCTTATATTCATCAACAATCGAGGGGGTTGATTGCTAGCTACAATCATGAAACATGTACGACTTGAACTCTTTAAAGAAAAACGTTTTATATGTGATATTAACCATCGTTGAATAACCTAGTTACAGATATTCGAAATCTATGCTATGAAAATCTTGAGGCATCCTTTTTCTCGTCATACTCATATCTTCATGAAAAAGATTAAATACATAATCATCTTCATTAGGTTAACTAGAGACGCGCATTTTTCACTATTTTTCTTGTTGACTTAACTACTCTTCATCCTCGATGGAGTCACTGCCACCCAACTCATGAGAAATCAAAGGAAACAAAAAAATTGTATGAGTTTTGATTAGTTTTGAAGTGTGTTAATCAACTGGCGATGAGCAAATACACACACACATGTGTGTGTGTGTGAAAGAGAGGGGGAGAAGCAATTGTACCTTAGAATAAATGGTAACCCATTCATCCTCAGGATTAGTGATAATCCACTTGTCATTATTTTGAATAGTGAAAAAGGTCATAGGCTCATGTGTATCAGACATATCAATCGTCTATTAATTAAGAAATTAAAGGTTGTGGAATCATTATTAAATAAAAATACAAAATATGTTATATGTATTTACCTTAATGAGTGAGGTGATAAACATAGAAAAGAAAGAAGGTTTGAGAAGTAATAAATGTGGCCAAAATGTATTAAGGAATAAGCCCTTAATATGTGACTCGTTGTGATCATATAGATACACGAAACCATAAAAAAAGGCTATTAGATACTTAAATTGTCTCTTAATTAAGACTAAGGAGTTGAGGAGTTAAAAAGAAAATCAAAAATAGAACATACTTGATCGATTATGATGAGAATGGTGCCATATCTCAATGATATAATATCGGAATCACCTTGCTTGAACTCAATGATATTTTTGATATTTTCATTTCGAATAATCTTTGTGTGATTAAAAGCTTTGACATTTATTAGTTTGAAGTTGGGGACAAAAATTCCAACGTGGTGTTGGTCACTAATGGGTAGACCAGAAAGGCTTTTCTAGTGAATAACGCAACAACCGGGTGACATGATTATCATCTAAGTATGCATATATAGAATACTAACATGAAGTAAAGAAGATAAAGTTTGAAAGAGAAGATAAAATATTTTTTAAAAAGGGAACAATTATTACCACACGGTATTTGCTATGTTCGCCTTCAGTAAAGATCAAAGTGCATTCGTTGGATTTTGAAGAACCGACATGTTTGGCGTCAAGTAGTCCTGTAGGTTGATTGTGGAGATGTTTGATATCAGAGTCGTTGTTTGCACTAATGTTTGCATTTAAGTTAGAGTAGAAGAGTTTTTTGCTTATTGGAGATTTGGAAGTTAGAGTAGAGATTGAAATTAAAAGAGCGGTTAGTTAGTTAATGATTACTTTGAATGTATGATTTATTTGTTTGTTTACTTAAATACGAGTAGTCACTGAACTTGATGATTCAAAAGTTGTAGATAAGTGACTTGAGGATGATCTAAAAGTTGCAGATCATTTGTTTGATTGGTGGGATGTTCATGGACCTTGATATCTCATGGTTGCTCGTATGGGACATGATTTGTTGGTCGTGTCAGAGTCTGCATTTAGTACTGGTGGTCGTCATATTGATGTGTTTCAAACATCTTTAACCCCTAAGGTAAGTTACTTTAAAAATAGATGATATTATTTATCCTATTATGTTGATATTCATTATTACCTAGGCTTAGTAATTATTATTATTATTATTATTATTATTATTATTATTACTATTTATGTTACCATAGACATATTATTTATTTTTATTTAGAACTATATTATTCATTTATATTACCATGTACACCTTATTTATTTACATATATAATTTATGGTATGAATACCATAAGTCATGTTACCATTTATGCGTATAAGTCATGGGCGAGAAAAAACGGTCAAAACTTCCCATGCTTTTAAATAAAGGATTGATTTCAAACAAATTTTACTATAACTAGTTAGTAATTATTGACGATGTGGGCTAGGTCGCTCAAAGCCTAAAAATACCTATACAGGCTGGGTTTGAGCTTTAGTTATTAGGCCCTCTCTACAGGCTGAGTCTAGTTTGGACCTATAAAATTCTCTTACTTTGGTGTTTGGGCTCAGCGGGTCGGCCCCAACTGGTCAGTTTCCCTTCCATCGTATATAGCAGTCTTTCGTTTGCCATCACCATGATCTGCCCTGGTAAATTGAAGTGGTATCGACCACTGGATTAATGATGTGGATCTCGTCCAAAAAGAATATTACCCTGGCAGGCTGGCATCAAGGACAGAATATCTCTATGTTCTTCTATATAGCTTGGAAAAGAAAAGGCTTCTTTTAATTGTCGGACATACAATGGACCCATCAGAGAAAACCATCTTGGGTATATTCATTACTTTACATACATACACTAAAGTTAGGTTTGATGATGAACTTGAGATATTGTCCATTACTGCAATATGATAATTCTACTTTTATCCTTGTAGTTTCCTAACTATTATTTTGTTAAGAACCACTGTTTCCTTTTAGGCAATTCTTCTCAGTTTCTCTAAATGTACTGCTAGTAGGAGAAGTGTTTTTGGAAACTCGTGAAGTATGTACGTTGACGGATATCGGTAAACCGTGATTTGCAAGCCTTTTCCAACTTCAACTGGCCATTAAATGTTTCGTGCAAGCTCTTCTGTCCTTGCTCCTTATCCTGCCACACTCACTTGGTCATAAATATTATTTCTGCTGAAGAGATCAGGGCTCAAGAAAGAGAAAGTCTACATAATACCAAATCTATGCCATCATTCAAATGATTTGTGATAATCTGGTTCTTTTATTAATTGTGTTAACCTCAATACTTAACAAAAAATCTGCCTTCAAGTTCACAGTTTCTGTCTTGTAATTTTGCAGTTTGAATGGTCATGACCTCAGCAGAGTGGGTTTTTTCATACAGGACGATTTGAGTTGCAGGCGTAACAATTGGGCATAGTCCGTTTTTTTGTTGGCGGTGGAACTGAAAAGAATGATACAATGCGTTATCATTTCAATCTCATAGCTTTTGGTGACTGCTTTATTTTCTTAAGTTTAAGAATTACAATTTGTATTCTTTTTTCTCATATCTTTATACTATGTTTGGTTCAAGTAATTCGGAAGGAAACGAAAAGAAAATGATTTTCTCTCATTTTCATCACCAAAATGGGTGGAATTTTGTTTCCCCCCCTTAGTACATTTTGCATTCTCATTTTCTTTTGCTTCCACATTTTTTTTTCTCTCCAACCAAACAAGAAAAAATATTTTCATCTGTTTTATTTTTTCTTTCGAATTCCTTGAACCAGACATAATGTTAGAGACATAGAATACACTTTTGTGTTTTCTTGTTCATTTCCTTGTGGTTTATTCTTGGTAGGAGCTGATACTCGCGTCCTGAACATGTCCAATTATGCATGCTCAGTGGTACCAAATACAGTGCAAAACATTTCTGCTCGTGTTTATGGTACCTAATTGATGACTTCATTAAAAAAGGTTGTGATTGCCATGGTTTTCATTCATTACTTGGATCAGCAATGCACCACTGTAGGCTACTCTTTTTTGCAGGGGTTGAGTTCAAGTGAGCACTTATTGTGGTGAAAATTTGCTGCTATCGTTTGGAGGAGCTAATGATTTCTGTTATAAGAATGATGTGAGATAATGCGTGTTAACAAAGAGAGTGTAATTACACAAAACTACACCAAATCTCAATTACACATGTGGTGTCCACAGTCCGTTGGGTATAATATTATTTTCATTAGCAGATTAGGTGTCAACATATAGTTTCTACAAAAGGAAAAATATATGTGCCATTCATATTGTTTCTATTCCTCCTGGTCTAATGCTTAAAACTCTTGGTCTCTAAAAAACATATTTATTACAACACTGTCACCTAGTGAAAGTAGCAATGGTTTGATCTTCTATGTTTTTATCATAACATGGCTGTAATATCATCCTTGGTACAGTGGAGTTCCTCCAGCACCAGGGTTGATCATGCTGCTACTGTTCATACTACTCATAGTGATCTTATTTTTGGGGGTCATAATTCATAAATATCATGAGTTCTTTAATGAACTCCATCTTTTAAATTTTGATACGGGAGTGCACCTCTTAGCTTCAATTGTTTTCCCTAGTTAGACGTGTTCGCAATTTAGTGGGAATGGTTGAGAACCAAGCAGCATGGGGAAATTTCAGGACCAGGCTATGGTCATGCAGGTGCAACCGTGCAACAATTGGAGATAGTTGGTTTATTGTTGGTGGTGGCAATGGCAGCACTGGTAGAAATATTTCAATATTTATATATTCCGGTGATTATATTTCTATTTATATAAAGAATTACAGCATATATTCAATTAGCACTTTTGTAGTTATATATTAAGATGTCACTGGTTAGTAATCTCCATCGCCTTCATTTAACACTCTTGCAACAAGTGTATTTAGTGCATGACTGAATTGAATGTCACTTCTTTATTGACGTGATTATATCTTTGCATTCTTTCAGATTGCTTGGAACTACGGACTGCTTTTAATTCTTTGACATACGAGGAGCTGTCAGCAAAAACTATGTTGGGTATATCCATTAGCGTACCTTCTTTGAGAGGTTTTTTTCACTAAGCTCTAAATGCATTGCTGCATTTAATGCATTGCTGCATTTAATGCATAGCTGCATTTAGTACCCTGAACTAAATTGAGAAGGCATAGTTTTAAAGACTCGTGAAGATTATTTTGTTACATATATCTGCATCACGTTGTTTTCAAACCTTTTTCTAACTATATTTGGCTGTTGATGGAACCTTGGTTTCAGATTAGTCAAACCTTTTTCAACATTGTTTATGCATTCCGCTTTCTCATTGTCTCGTCAATTTGTGATGCTAGTGAAAGAGTTTGATCTGGAAACCATACTTGGTTAGATTTCACGACTTCATGAGATGCACCGGTATGTGCCTTGCACCCTTTATACTTAGTTGTCATTTTTATTTTTAGAAAAAAATTGTTATAGGTTGCATATGTCTAGTTTTCATTGAGTGGCTTGAGTTGGGAGCTTGGATTCAAAGACTTCTCTCCAGACTTTCCCCACTTTCTGCCCGCCCAATTGTAAAGTCTGAAATTTTACTAAATTTGATTTTTTATTTTTGTTTCCACTCTGTTAGCACATTATTAAGAATTTGTTTGCACAATAATAGGTCCACTATTGTTGTCAGGATCCACTAGTCTTTTCTTTCTGCAAGATAGAACAAGGTAGTTATATTAATTTATTTCTTTGTATTCCAACATTATTATTACTCCAGTCCATCTCCATGGAAGCATATCATTAAACTCATTAATTTTAGAGCATTGGAAAACTCATTAATAGTGGAAAACGAGAACATCAAACTCCAATTGAATGCAATTGTAGCATCAAACACTGTGACTATGTACCCCTTAGAGTTTGCAAGATGGGTGTCTCGAATTGAAAGATGGTCGAGCACCGTCTTCTTGGGGTTTTTATCAACGTCCTGAAGGAAGAGCTGGGTCCACATCTAAAACTGCTTTTAGCCTAAATGGTAGTTAAGGTTGTGCATTAGGCTAAAACCACTGTATAAGGCCTTGCGTTAGGATTGAAGACCGGACTGAATTGCCTTGTGACTAGACCGAATGAGACTCGTTTCTCAATTCTATTTTCTAATCATTGATTAGATTTGCACTTTTTATCTGATGAAAAATCAATTTAAAAAACAAAGGTTTAGGCTACAATTCCAAGCAGCACGCACCAACAAAGATAAATGTTGACATCTCCATTTGACCACTCCATAGGCCTAGTAGGCGGCAAAATAGGAGTAAATAAGCAAAAAAACTCCAACTTCCAAATATGCAATAAGCAAAAAAACTCTAGAGTGCTAGCAAAATGCTAAGACGAGTGTAAGTGATGACCACAATATCAAGCATCTCAACAATCTATCTATAGAACAATCTATCTATAGATTACTTGACATCAAACATTTCGATTCTTCAGAATTCAACAAATGCACTTTGATCTTTACTGAAGGCGAGAGCGGAAAATGCTTTGGGGTTATAATTAATACCTTTTTAAAAATCTTTTATATTCTCTTCTTTTTCAAACTTTATCTTCATTACTTCATGTTAGCGCTCTATATATGCATATCTAAGGATGAATTTCATGTCACCTGGTTTTTGCGTTATTTAGAAGAACAACCTTATGTCTACCTATTATTGACCAACAAAGCTTTGGAATGTTCTCTCTCAATTGCAAGCTAATAAATGTCAAAAATTCAAATCACACCAAGAGTATCCAAAATGAAAAAATCAAAAATACCTTTAAATCCTTGGGTTGAAGTAAGGTGATTCTGGTATTACATCATTGAGATATGACTTCATTTTTATTACTCCCTCTGTCCGAAAATAATCTTCCCATTTCTCCTTTTTCTCCGTCTGGAAATAATCTTCCCATTTCAATTTTTTATACACTAACTACCAAAAATACCCTCACTTAATATTTTCACATTATCTCTCCCCTCCCCCTTTCTCTCTACTCCCACAAACTCTTATCTCTCTCCTTCATCCCTTTTTCTTATTCCATCCGTTCTCCTTCTCTCCTTCCTTCTCTTTATCTTCTTTTTTCATCATCCCCTCCCCCCCTCCCCCCATTCTTCTCGAGATCTCTTCATATCTCTTTTTATTTTTCTTCTTCTTTTTCTTCTTCTTCTTCTTCCCGAAATTCTTATCTTCCCTCTCTCCCACAATCTAGTGTAGATCTGTACTAGATCTTCTTCCCTTCGTTTTTTCTTCCCCTTCTCTTTCTCTCGGAGGAGGTGGCGGCTAGGGATGATAGTGCGACTGATGGTGAGTGGTTACGTTGGGGCTGAGGGGCGATTGTGGTGGGGGCTGGGTCAATTGTGGTAGAGGTGACGACAACGGTGGTTGGGACAGTCAATTTTGGCGGAGCTGACGGCAACGATGGAGTCGGGATGATGGCGGTGGTGGGTGCTAGCCCTGGCAGATTAGGGGAGGGCAGGGTTGGTGTTGTAAAACAGGAAAGAAATAAAGGGTATATTGGACATTTTACTTCCAAAGTCAACACTCCAAAAAAATGAGAAAAAGTCCAAATGGGAAGATTAATCCCGGACAGAGGGAGTATAACCAATCAAGTATGTTTTCTGTTTAATTTTTCTTTTAGCTCTTCAACTTCTTGGTTTTGAAATAGAGACACTTTACGTATCTTATAACTTATCTTTTTTTATGGTTTAGTGTATCTATAGGATCATGATAGATCACATATAAAGGGCTCATTCCTTAATATCTTCCATACATTTTGCCCGCATTTAATACTTTTCAGACCTCTTTTCTTTTTTATGCTTATCACTTTCTTATTAAGGGAAAATACATATAACAGACTTTGCATTTTTATGTTAACAATGATACCACCACCTTTAATTTCTTATCCTAGTAGTTTGTTGATATGTTTGAAACACATAAGCCTATGACCTTTTTCACCATTCAAAATTATGACAAGTTGATTATCACTAATGCAGAGGGTGAATAGAACACCATTTATTATAAAATGTAATTGATTCTCTTCTCTTTTGTCATACACACACCCATCTATGTATGTATTTAAATGTGTGTGTGTGTGTTCGCTCACTGTTGGTTGATTCATCACACCTTTAAAGCTAATCAAAACTCACATTATTCTTTTGTTTACTTCGTTTTCTCTGGTGTTGGGTAACAGTGACTCCTTCAAGGGTTAAAAATATTTAAGAAATCAAGATAAGTTGTGAAAAGTGATCACCTTTTGTTCACTCAAAGAAGATTTTGCATATAATCTTTTCTTCGATGAAGATAAATATGGAGAGAAAAGGTGCTTCAAGATTTTTATAAGATACATGACAACTATATCCGTTTAGGTCATTCGATGATTCTTAATATCACATATCAGATTTTTTCTTAAAAGAATTCATACATTTTTCATGTGCGCATAACTGGCAATTAATCCCTTGTTGGTTGATTGTTATATGATGGCACAACAAAATCGCTTTATTGATATATTTGATTTTTTTTAGAAAAATGACAAATTTTGTGGGTGACAACATGATATGGATTATACATCTATTGTGAACATGACACCTTTTTAAAACTATTTAAATTGATCAAAAAAGCAGGGAATAACACTTTTCATTATGTTGGCTTATATTCATGAACAATCAAGGGGATTGATTGCCGGCAACATACATGAAACATGTACGAACTATTTGAAGAAAAACATCGTATTTGTGATATTAACTATTATTGAATCACCTAGTTTGAAATATTTGTCATCCCTGCTATGAAAATCTTGAGGTACCCTTTTTCTCGTCATACTCATATCTTCATAAAAGAAAAGTTTAAATACATAATCATCTTCATTACGTTAACTAGAGAGGAACATTTTTCGCAATTTTTCTTGATGACTTAAATACTCTTAACCCTCGATGGAGTCATTGCCACTCAACTTCTGAGAAAAACGATGTAAACAGAAAATTTTTATGAGTTTTGATTAGTTTCGAAGTGTGATTAATCAACCGACGATGCACAAAAAAATATATATACCCACACATTGTCACACATAGACATACATACATGTGTGTCAAAGAGGTGGAGAAGCAATTGTATCTTAGAATAAATGGTGTTTCATTCGCCCTTGGGAGTAGTGATAATCCAGTTGTCATGATTTTGAATGGTGTAAAAAGTTATAGGTGTATGTGTATCGGACATGTCAATCGTCTATTAAGGTAAGAATTTTAAAGTTGTGGGATCATTGTTACATAAAAATACAATGTATGTTATATGTATTTACCTTAATGAGTAGGGCAATAAACATAGAAAAGAACGAATGTTTAAGAAGTAATAATTGCGGCTAAACTATACGGAAGTTCCTATGGAGTAAGCCCTTAATATGCGACCCGTCGTGATCATATAGATACACCAAACCACAAAGAAAAAGAGCGACTACTAAGTACTTATATTGTCTCTAAATTAAAACTAAGGAGTTGAGGAGTTAAAAAGAAAATTAAAGAGAGAACATATTTGATCGATCAGATGAGAATGAAGTCATATATCAATGATGTAATATTGGAATCACCTTGCATGAATCCAAGGATATTTTTGATTTTTTTCATTTCGAATAATCTTGGTGTAGTTTGAAGTTTTGAAATTTATTGGCTTGAAGTTGGGGGCAAAGATTCCAAAGCGATGTTGGTCACTAATAGGTAGACCAAAAAGGATGTTCTCCTAAATAACGCAACAACCAAATGACATTAATATCATCTTCAAGTATGCATATATAGAACACTAACATGAAGTAATGGAGATAGAGTTTGAATAAGAAGATAAAAGATTTTAAAACGTTAGTTAGCAATTATTACCACAAGTTTTTTGCCGCTTTCGCTTTCGGTAAAGATCAAAGTGCATTCATTGGATTTTGAAGAACTTTCATGTTTGGCGTCAAGTAGTCTTGTAGGTGGTGTTGAGATGTTTGATATCAGAGTTGTCGCTTGGACTAATGTTGGCATTTAGCTAGAGTAGTAGAGGTTTTTTGCTTATTGGAGATTTAAACGTTAGAGTAGAGATTAAAATTTATTTAAAAAGCAGTTAGTTAGTTAATTAATACTCTGAATGTATGGTTTATTTGTTTGATTACTTGAAGACAAGATCGCATCATGGACCTCGATGATTCAAAAGTTGTAGATGAAGAACTTAAGGATGATTCAAATGTTGTAGATGAGTGACTTGAGGATGATCCATACATTACACATCATTAGTTTGGTTGGTGGCATGTTCATGGACCTCCCTATCTTGTGGTTGCTCGTACGGCATGTGATTTGTTTGCCAGAGTCTGCGTTTAGTGTCTGGTCGTCATCTTGATGCGTTTCAAACATCTTTAACCCCTAAGGTAAGTTACTTTAAACGCAAGTGATATTATTTATACTATCATGCTGATATTCATTATTACCCTGGTACAGTAATTATTATTGTTATATATTTATGTTACCCTAAACACATTATTTATTTTTATCTAGAACTATATTATCCATTTATGTTACCATATACACATTATTTATTTCCAACAATTTATGGTAAGAATACCATTAATTATGTTACCATTTGTTTGTATTACCTTAGACGTAAATAATATTATTTATACTACTCTGTTGATATTCGTTACTACCCGATCCTTATTATTATTATTATTATTATTATTTATTCGTGTTTACGTGTAGTAAAAGAACCCAACAAAAAGAACCCAAAGTAATTCTCATGATAATTAAGTAATTTACATATAAGGAAGTGAGAATATATTCCTTTTTTATATTATTTAGGACTATATTATTTATTTATGTTACTATATACATATTATTTATTTAGATATTTTTTATGGTAAGAATACCATAATTTATGTTACCATTTATGCGTATAGGGAAGCCAAAATCAATCCTTATCTATCTTACTATTTATTTATATTACCATAAATGTGAATTATATTTTTTCTATTATTTTATTGATATTCATTTTTACTTGTTATTTATTTACATGTTATTCGTTACCATATTATTTATCTATTTATGTCACCATATACATATTATTCATTTACATATAATTTAGGATATGAATCCCATAAATTTTGTTACCATTTATGCATATGATATAAGGAATCAATCCTTACTTTATATATGACAATATATCTATTTATGCACACTTACCATTTTTAATGTAAAGTAATGGGTGGGAAAAAATGGTCTGTTGATCTCGTAGGTTGTCCTGCTTCAATTCATGTCTACGGAACATGGGTTCCCCTATTAGTCTCAGGGAGTCGACCTGAATGACGAGCTTGGGTACTTAAATACATGCCATTTCCACTAGCATATATGCTGTTGGCTCTTTTTTCCAACAAAGTATCGATCTTTATTTGGCTCCACGTGAATTCAATTGCATTGCGTTGAATTTTCTTGGGCCTTGTATGAATTATTTGCTTGAGGCATGGAACAGCAGTAATGTGAGATGAACTGTACATCTATGGGGTAAGAAGCTGGGATCATCGTTTCCTTAGTGATGATCTTCATGTAAGAAGCTGGGATTAGTCGGGTGTTTTCTGTCTGATATCCATCAGGACTAAAACCAAACTACTGTAGGTGCTTGATTTGAACTGTTTGACTTGGCATAAGCTCATTGGCACTGATTCGGGAGAAAAAGCATGTGAAAGCAAGTCACAGTGAATATTTAATGAAAGCCCATTCATTGGTAAGTAAAATCCAACGTCTTCCAGGCAGATCTATTTAATAAGTGACTGAATATGTTTGTGTGTCTGCTAGATAGCTTAGAAGGAAAGGCTTCTTTTAATTGTCAGACATACAATGGACCCATCAGAGAAAACCATCTTGGGTATATTTATCACTTTATATACATACACTAAAGAAAGTTTGATGATGAACCTAAAATATTGTCCATAACTGCAATATGATAATTCTACTTTTATCCTTGTAGTTTCCGAATGAAGTATGTAACTATTTTTTATGTTAGAACCACTGTTTCCTTTTTAGGCAATTCTTCTCGTGAAGAATGTACTATGACAGAAATCTGAAAACCATGGTTTGCAAGCCTTTTCCAACATCAACTGGCCATTAAATGTTTCTTGGTTTCGGATTTATTGAACTGCTAATCTGTCTGGAATATAAGCCCTACTAGAGGCTGCTCTTGCGAGTTTGCTGCCATTAAATGCTTACTATTGTAAACTTAAATTTCTACTTTCTGAGATGCACCGGTATGGATCTTCTGTCCTTGCCTAATGTTCTTGCTCCTTATCCTGCCACACTCACTTGGTAATAATAATTATTTCAGCTGAAGAGATTAGGGCTCAACACAGAGAAAGTTTACTTTATACCGAATCTATACCATCATTCAAATGGTTTGTAATAACTAACAATCTGGTTCCAATGTTAATTGTGGTATTTGGTTCTTAATTGTACATCACACGAATTCAGAAGGAGAAGAAAACAAAATGATTTTCTCTCATTTTCCTCACCAAAATGAGAGGATTTTCCTCTTCCCTACTCTTACACTGCGTTTGGTTCAAGGAATTAGGAAGGAAAAGAAAAGAAAACGAGTTTCTTTCATTTTCCTTGGCCAAATGCAAGAAATTTGATTATCCCTCCTCTCAGTATATATACCTTTTCATTTTCTTTTCCATCCATTTTTCTTTTCTTCTCATCTCTAAACAAACAAGAAAAATTGTTTTCCATCTTAATTTCTTTTTTTTTCCCTTTCAAATTTCTCGAACCAAACATAGTGTTAGTATATTTTGCATTCTCATTTTCTTTTGCTTCCACTTTTATTTTCTTTTTTCTCTCCAATCAAACAAGAAAATTTCTTTTCTATATCTTTTTCTTTTCTTTTCTCTTTCAAATTCGTTGATTCAAAAAGTGTTAAAGATATAGCATCATCTTCTATGTTTTCTTGTTCATTTCCTTGTGGTTTATTCAATATAAATTAGCCTTACACTATGAATGGTTTAAGAGCATTTCCATCAATATGAATCTCCCTTAAAGTAATTATAGCTTAAAAGCTATGTGATCAATAAAAATTAGCCTTAGAGCAATGTTTTGATTTGGCCATAGACTAAAAATATTTTAAGAGCATTATTATAATATGGCCTTAGTTTGGAATGAGTTGAAAATAATTATTTATGATAAAGTTTGATATAAAGTTATTTGTGACAATGATGAATGTTCTGATAACTAAAATGACACTTAGTTATTGTATGTAGAGGATTGGCATCATACAAATTTCAATAATGGATATTTTTAATTTAACTACAGGCGTTATAAAATAATAAAGACGATTTTAAATATGAAAAAGAGAATATATGAATAAATGTATGTGATTGATACTGCGAAAGAAATTATTTTGTAAATTCTTTTATTATGTTATAGTACTACTCAGCTTCATTGCTGAACGTGTAGCCTCTTTTATCTTTCTACATGTAGATATGAGAAAAAATAAAATGTGGAGTTTATCCTGGAGTGTACTGAGGTGAAGTCGTTGCACAAACTTACTACTCGAGTATATTATTGTAATTTGTAAATCGCTTATGTATTATTTTAAATAATTATACTCTGATGTTATTCCAAATATTTTGCACAGTTATTTGAAATATAGTAGACATGTGCATGCAATTAAAATAATACCACTACTCCACTTACTTTATTTATTACATCTCACTTACATTATTTAATAAACTCCACTCATTTTTATTAAGAGTTTTATGATAAATTTTTACCTTTTTTCAACTTTTTAAAAAACCAAAAAATGTCAAAACGAGAAGATCTTAGGGAGACGGAGAGAATACATTTTTAAAAAATGTTAAAAAATGCAATATTTTATTTATTCTACTCCAAACTTAAATAGAATTTTAGAAAAATAAAAAATAAAAAAGAGTGTAAGAATGGAACAAAAAGATTTTACCCGAAAAATATTTTAATTATAAGGAATGATAAAATGAATAATAAAATAATCGTAATTAATAAATTAAAACATAGATCTAAGGTATTTGTATTAGATAAAAGAATTATCCCATCTACTTAGTTTTGGCCCAATAGAAATTTAACCCAACCCATATCCAAACCCATAATTCTACATAACCCTACTCTTCCAGTCTTCCTTCTCCATTTATAATCATCAATGAGAGGGGAGGGGTGGAGAGGCTTACAGAGAGAAAAGGAGGCGCAGAGAAGCAAATCACCACAAGGTCTTCGGGACCCAACCTCTCCGATGTTTTAGACTACACACATTTCTACATTTTTTTTGTTTTTCATCTCATCTCTGTCGTGCTTCTGGTTTTCCTTATTTGCAGCATGGAGTTGCAGTTATCAAGATAAAATGTATGTCTACGGGGGGAAACATTACAGTATTGGAGGTGTCCCTAGGCTTCTCAGGCCATATCTTCTTTTTTTGGGAGATCTTCACGTAAGTGTTTCCTACCTATTCTATGGCTGTGGCTTTCTACCTAATGTTCTTGCTCCTAATTGTGCCACACTCACTTGGTCATAATAATTATTTCTGCTGAAAAAGATTAGGGCTCAACATAGAGAAAGTCTACATAAAACCAAATCTATGCAGTGAAAGTGTTTAATCATACCTGATTAAAAAAACACATTTATTTCAACAATTTCAACGCATCTTATCTTTTTTTATATATAAATTGTATTCCTTGACATTTGACTCTCACCAATATTAAGTCACCAATATTAAGTGAAATTGTATGATTGAGAGTGATGCAGAGGAGATAAAAAATATGAACCACAAAAAAATGTTTCAAAAGTGAAAAGTGAAGTAGTTTTTGGGATTTCCCAAAAAGGAAATAAAGACTACTATTTCGGGATAGGCGCCACACCCTACTCTTTATGTGATTTCAACTAGGTTTTTGTTATTTTTACAAAAAAGTTGTCACTAATTTTTATTTTTAGAAATAATTGTTGTAGATTTCATGTCTACTTTTCATTTGATGGTTTGAGCTGGGAGCTTGGGAATTCAAAGACTTTCCTCCAGACTTTTCCCATTTCCTGTCCACCCAATGGGAAAGACTTTCCTCCAGACTTTTCCCATTATCTTTGCATTCTTTCAGATTGCTTGGAAGTTGGAACTACGGATTGCTTTTAATTCTTTGACATACGGAGGAGCTGTCAGCAAAAACTATGTTGGGTATATCCATTAGCGTACCTTCATAGAGAGGTTTTTTCCACTAAGCTCTAAATGTATTGCTGCATTTACAACCCTGAACTTCATTGAGAAGGCATAGTTTTCCAACCTTTTTCAAACTATATTTGGTCGTTGATGGAACCTTGGTTTCAAATTAGTCAATCTGCTCCTCTCGGATGCCTACCAATATTAAGTTTCTATTTTGCTTTTCAACATTGTTTATGTATTCCAGATTCTCATTATCTCGTCAATTTGTGATGCTAGTGAAAGAGTTTGATCTGGGAGTGGGGTTTGAAATGCATAGCAATAAAGCGAAATAGATGGCAGTAACGAGACATAGGTGAAGTAGTTTGTAGACAACACGTACAATAAGTAAGACAATATTGTTTTAGCACAATAATAAGGCTGAAATTTTACTAAATTTGATTCTTCTATTTTTGTTTCCATTCTGTTAGCACAATAATAAGTATTTGTTTGCACAATAATAGGTCCACTATTGTTGTCAGGATCCACTAGTCTTTTCTTTCTGCAAGATAAAACATATCTTTAAACTCATTAATTTTAGATCATTGGAGATACTCCTTGGCTTCTATTACCTCTTTTTTGTGTGATTCTTATTGTAAGAGGGTCAGCAGAGAATTCATTCTTTAGTTTCTATCTTTCATTCTCTTAATACTTTCCTCCACCTATCATTTGGTATCAAAGCCTTTTTGTGGTCAATATGGTAGTCACACGTTCATCTAATACTAACTCGAATCCGGAAGGTAAACAGAAATTCCCTTTGGTAATGATCCTTTTCAATCATTGCCTCTTGTTTGGTAGCTTTAGATGCTTTGCAAGAAAATTTGACGATCTTGGAAGCTAATTCATCTCGTTGTAATAGTGGAAAAGGGGGGCAGATGTAGCAATGAGGATTATGAATTATCTTAGTGTGCTTAAAATTGACTTCCCAAAATTTGCAGCAGGCGACTCGAGAGAATGGGACCTCAAAGCATAGAAGTATTGCGAATGCTTTGGACCTTTTTTCATGCACAAATCATGGTTTTAAAAGGCGACCGAGGCGGTCCGCCTCGAGGCGGTGAGGCGGTAAGGCGGTTGCATTTCGCCTCTGAGGCTTAAGCCTCAGTAGGGACACACCTGAGGCGTACGCCTCACAATGTTGAGGCGGTCCGAGGTGGTAAGTCGTAACCGAGGCGTAAGCCTCACTTTTAATAAGAATTTCAGCAATTATAAGGGTTACTTTTAAAAGGCTATTGGGCCTCTTTTACAAAAACTCTGTTTGGCCAATGCATTATAAAGTTTCTTAAGAAAAACTTAATAAACCTAGTAGATAATTATCACTTCTTTCCAAGACTTTTTGCGTCACCTTTTGTCTCTCCATCTTCAACCTTACTTCTCTCCATCTTCAGACTTCAATGGCACAACTTCACTCTTCCGCTAAGGCAATTACTTCATATTTAATAGCTTATCTTCTATTTCTTTCATCTTCTTCTTTCAGCTTTTAATTTTTCCGGTTCCTTCTTTTCCAACATCCCTCTCCCTCTTTTAAATTCGGTTCAAACTTCAAAGAATGATGTAACTTTTTTTTGCGTGAACTTTTGTCCATATTTAATATTTATAAGGTTTGGAGATGGATTTGAGACATTTGTGTTTATGTTACTGTGTTTAATCTTTATAATTCTTTTTTTTTATTTGTGTTTTAAAAATTAAGATAGGGTATCTTTTTTTGTAAAATTCAGGAATTATGATTTTATCATTTATTTAACATAAAAATGGATTATGCATTTTGTTTTACCTCGGTGTACATATTTTAGTATTATTTTTTTCATATTGAACTGAGGCTTACGCATCGTTCCGCCTCGAGGCTTACGCCTCAAGGCATTTTGCTCCACCGCCTCGAGGCTAGTTTTCGCCTTTCAAAACCTTGGCACAGATGAACAATGTTTTATTTAGAAGATTTGGTAAAGGCATTCCAAGAACACTATGGTCCACGAGAATATCAAAATCCAATTGAATACCATTGTAGCATCAAACAGAGTGATACTGTGACTCTGTACCCCTTGGAGTTTTCAAGAAGGGTGTCTCGAATTGGAAGATGGTCGAGCACTGTCTTCTTGGGGTTTTTATCAACGACGTGAAGGAAGAGTTGGATCCAGATCTAAAACTGCTCTTAGCCCAAATCGTAGTTCGGGTTGTGCATTAGGCTAAAACCAGACTGGGACTGTATAAGGCCTTGCGTTAGGATTGCCTTGAGACTAGACAAAATAACAATACTGAGTCAAGCGTATAACACATATCACAATGTATAATCTAAATTACTCAAATGCCATCAAGCGATCAATGGTGTAATATGACAAAAGCTCAATCTTGAAAATTCCTAGATTATTCATTTATGAAAGTCGCCCACTTTTCTACACCTTGGTTTGTACACAAATTTCCAAATCCGAATTGCCCTGCCAGCCACAACCAGGAATATGCAAAAAGAAAAACCATTGTTAAAACATTTGCACTTTTCATTAAACACAAATAAAGGTAATCTAGAGCACAACAAGGCAAATATATAATGAACATGTAATGTTTCCATATGTTAAAATCTTGAAACATTAGTTTTATCAATAATATATTCATGTACTCTCAAGTTCACCGTGTGTTGCAAAACAAATCGTAAACAACAATAAAACTACTTAGTTTAAAACTACATAACAAGTTAATGATTTTGCTATATAATGTACGAGACTATTTTCAAGAGACCTTCATCTCAAACAACACAGAGATAACAAGTCATTAGCAAAAAGAATCTCAAGCAACAAAAAGACAACTAGCACCTTAGCAAAATGATTGATTGATTTGAAAAAGAATATTCATCAAAAATTGGAAAAGAGTGAATTACACTTGATAAAAATAAAGAAGTGCTTAAATGAAATGAAAGCATACAGATAGAATTTAAAATGGGGTATGGACAACTAGATTGAGTAATAAAAACACTTGAGTTGAACTATATTAAAAGATTGAATCGAATCGATTAGTTAATTCAACTCAAGAGCTTATATATTGATTATTTTACCCTTGGACTTCCGATGTGGGATAACATTCTAACACTCCCCCTCAAGTGGACAACCGGGCTATTTTGAATCTAACTGGTTGGCCACTTACAAAAGGACTCTCTTTCCTTTGATTTTTTTGAGCGTCGAGACCTAAAAGACCACAAGCCGCTAGGTATGGACTTTTAGACGAGCAATCGTGTTAGACAGGCCACAAGCCATTGGGTACATACTCTATACGTACAACTGGGCTAAAGACAAACAGGCCGATAGGAATGAAAGTCGGCTAAAACGTGCTTCGATACCATGATAGAATTTAAGATGGGGTATGGACAACTGGATTAGGTAATAAGACACTTGAAGTGAACCACATTAAAGGATTGAATTCAATCGATTAGTTAATTCAACTCAAGAACTTATATACTGTTTATTTTACTCTTGGACTTCTGATGTGAGATAACACTCTAACACATAATAAAAGGAGATGAAGTCTAGAAATATGGGTTTTCTCCTTTGGGGCTCACAAACTCAGTTCCTTCTTCCTCTCCAGTCACTACATTGTGTCCTCATCAGGTTCTCCTTCGAATTGAATGCCTCGATGGGTGTGTGGACGTGGTTGCACCAGAGGGGGTCATAGCTGACGCAGACATAGTACTCACACATTGTCTCCCCTTGATCGTAGATAGCTTCGTCCATTTGGTTATCGTTAAGGACAAGTGACGAATGGAATCTGCAATGGAATCAAGAGTAGTTCACATACGTGCCTCTTGGGCTTGACGTGGAGCCTCAGGAGCGTTGGCCTTTTTGGGTTTTGAAGGTTTGGTCGTCAATGACCCAATGCTTCGTAGCTTCGACATGCTGTCCGATAAAGACATCCACAGAGAAGTGGAGGATCTCCTTGACAAGGGTAGCGTATGGGAGAGGCTTGGTGTTGGCGATAGAGGTGAAGTCGCCCATGTGGATCCACAATCTTGTGTCAATTGATGGGCGTTTGGTAAATGATGGCCTGCATAAGCCTCACATCATCAACCTTCATCATGGTATGGTTGTAGGCACAGGGAATAAGGATCCGGGTGAGGAGATAAAAGAGAAAATGAAGTTCGGGATTGTTCCTGTGAATGTTTGGGCGGCAATGTGCTCGGGTTTGGTCGGTGATTCCAATTTCTTCAAGAAAAGCCTCTTGATTGTTGTTGGTCCAATTTGGACCACCATAGTTACTTGAGTCGA